TATATATATAAAGAGAGAGAATGTATCTTTGGGTTACTGTTATTATTAATCTTATTATTATAATACAAACGAGGAAGTAACATGTACAAAGTAGTGGCAGTATAAGAGCAATTAATATGCATTTAAAATATAAATATATAGAGAGATGCACCAATTTGTTGTTTGCAGATCAACCAATCAGCAACAACATTAAAAAAAATGTTTATCATTGTTTCCCTGGCATTTATACAAAGATGACAATACACACAGCAAACAAATGCTCATCAAAAAGGCACATTCGCATTCATGTAGCATAAAAGATAGCAGAGTTAACCAGGAGTGAACTTTAAAAACATCTTTAAAAAAACACATTTAAAATCAACTTTAAAATGATTTCCCCCGAGAGTAGCAGCTGGTGGCGCTATCACACCGCACTGTCAGACTGAACCTCATGAAAGTCATTTTACAGAAAACTGATCGTGACGTGGCAGCACGGTGGTCAACTGGTTAGCTTGTTGTCTTCACAGTGCAGAGGTGCAGGGTTTCGATTACCCTCCGGCCTTCCTGTGTGGAGTTTGCATGTTCTCCCTGTGCCTGCGTGGCTTTTCCCCGGGTACTCCGGTTTCCTACCACATGCCATATACATGCATGACACTCTAAAAATGTCCTTAGGTGTGAGTGTGAGCGTGAATGGTTGTTCATCTACGTGTGCCCTGTGATTGGCTGGCAGCCAGTTCAGGGTGTATCCCGTCTACTGCCCAAAGACAGCTCCAGCTCACCCGCGACCTTTGAGGATAAACGGATTAGAAAATGGATCAATGGATGATAGTGAAATAAATCCTCCCTCACACATTTGCATTTCAGAAGGGGACTAAATAAAAATCCCCAAAAAGTCTTCGCATTATCATGTTTTTTAAAAAAAAGTTTCATAAAGTCTTCACGTTGTCTTGAATCTGTTTTCGATGAGTTAAAAGCTGTTTTAGTGTCGACACAAACGGCCAAATTGCATAGAAAAATGATTGTAAAAAATTACGGTCAGCATCCCATCCATTGGGGGGCGCTCTTGTGCGTCAGAAAAACAGGAAGTGCTCGATGTGATACAAGATTGAGGTCCGCAGGTGCACGTTTTAACCTGTGGGTGGCACCATACCCTTAAATTGTGTGTGTGTGTGTTTGTGTGTGTGTGTGTGTGTGTGTGTGTGTGTGTGTGTGTGTGTGTGTGTGTGCGTGTGTGTGTGTGTGTGTGTGTGTGTGTGTGTGTGTGTGTGTGCTTGAAGTCACATTTCAACAAGAGTGTATTTGTGAATTCGCCAATCAGGTGGCGACAAAGGCTCAGTCTGTATTTTTGGATGACGTGAGAGCTTCGGCTTCGGGGTCCTCCTGAGGGAACATCACGTAACACACCTTCTGGCCCATGTAGGTCAGTTTCTCTGCGGGGAGATGAACAACATGAAGCACACACACAGGTATGGACTTGACATGGCAGGCAAGCAGTCACCTGTGAATTTGTAAATCCACTTGGGTTTGTTCTTCCACCAGACGCCCACAAAGTAGACGGGCACGCCGGTGAGCATGATGACCATGCCCAGGCCGCACACCACTGGCTCAGAGTACAGGCTGAAGCACAGCAACACCACCCAGAACAGCATGTAAGCGATGGGGATCAGCAGGTTCACCTGCAAACCACAGACAAAAAAAACCAAACAGCTTTTTCTTTAGCTTTGGAATGATAAAGACCACCGTCTAGTGAACCATATCGCGAGGGACGGCTTTCAGTCCCACTAAAGACCATATAAAGAGATTTACAAAATAGTTTTAGTTTTACCCCTCACACATGATTTTTGATTAATTTAAAAACTTGGTAAATGTATCTAAACACACACACACACACACACACACACACACAAAATTGCTCGGATAAAATGTAGAGAAAATTTGGTTCGTAGTGTTAGTGTGCTGTACATGCGTGTTTCTTTACGTTATGGGGAGTTTGAGTGTGTGTATAAAGGCTATTTTCACAGTAGAGTTCAGTTCCGATTTCATTTTATTTTATTTTTTTCCATTAAGTGTATCTGATTTTTTTTCATGTCATCTCACCAGTACATTCCCATTTTTTTCAAATCCGATCCTCTACATCCAGACGTCATCTTTAGTCGATGTTTCCATGAAATGAGGAGCTCAGGGAGAGTCACCTCTTTCCCCAAAATATTTCTACCTCCTCCCGCGTCACGACTCTCTCTATATGAGGTGATGAGATGAGCCCCTACATGGGGGACCATATTTACTTCCATAAACACCGTGTCACTTTTTTTTTTTTTTGTGCACATCACTTTATGCGCATGTGTGTCACATCACGGACGGACACGTTCCATTTCCATGAGAAATCACAGTTGAATACTTGAAATGATTAGCAAACGTTCACATCATTCTCCACCTGTTACATGGCTAACTTTCTGTTCAATTTAGAAACTGGTGAGATTTTTTTTTCTTTTATTGTATTATGACAATCCCCACTCAGCTTTCTCTTTATAAGTGAAAGTTGTGTTTTCTACCTTTGCAGTGGCTTGAGTGAATTTTCAGGGGTCGTAGTACCTTGATTGGTCGCACCAGGTTTGGACTCTTCTTGCGGAGGTAGAGCAGGCCAGCGATGGTGACGCCGTACGACAGATAATTGATGAAGGACACGTAATTGATCAGATTGTGCGTCTCACCGATGCACAGGATGACGATGGTGGCGAAGCACTGCGGGACACCGGGCGAGATGATGCGTATTCACGAGCGTGTGTGCCTAATGATGCAGCCTGTATTTTATTGTGGCAGGAAGTGCAAGTTACTCACGCAGACCATCAGGGCCGGAATGGGGGTGCAGTTCTTAAGGTGGATCATGGCCAGCAAGTAAGGTAGGTGACCCTCCCTGGCCCCTGAGAAACATAACCTACACACACACACACACACACACACACACACACACACACACACACACACACACACACACACACACACACACACACACACACACACTTTATATATCCACACACACACACACAGATTGACACAAATACAGTTGACCTCCACCAAGGCCAAACACTGCTAGTTTCGCCATTACATACACATGCCACATACTGCACATTCAGTATAGCATGTGATGTGAAGTGCTTTTTGTGTGGTGGTGCCTTGCCAGTGTGTTTGTATGTGCGTTTTACCTGGAGGAGGTAAAGAGATAGCCGTTGATACCCCCAAAAGTGGACAGGGCCACGGAAATGGGCATCACCCAAGAGAACATGCCCAGCAGCTTTTCACCAAACGTCTGCAACGTGACAGGATAGCAACATCAATCATACAATTGATTTTGAGTACATGACCTGTCCCAAAATGAAAGGAAGGTCGTCCAAATATGAAATGTCTCACATTTAGCCGAGTTGACCAAAGGACTCGAGCATGTCAAAGTGGAATTAATCGTTGCTCTTCGACTATCACATTTTAAAGATCTAGAGAAGCCTAATTCAAAAATCACAATTAAATATTAAATGTCAAGTAATTGTCTAGCTCTGCTAAACGGCACTTCTTTTTTTTTCTTTCGCCGTCTAACGCGGGTGGCATGACATAGAATATAGAGCATTTATTTGGGCATACGCCACTATAAGGGGTTGCAGCGGCCTGTTCACCACTGCTCACGAGTTCAGTTAAGTTTGTCTTTTGCGTTGAATGAAACTGAGAGCTTCGCCGAGTCAACAACCGGAAAATGAGCGTAAGCAACTCCCTTACCACCGCCACGGCATTGGACGCCAGCAGCTCCTCGGGGCTCATGGAGGTGAAGTAGGCGATGTTGGTCATTGTGTACACCAGCGTCACCAAGGGGATGGAGATGTAGATAGCCCGGGGCAGGTTCCTAATTCAACGAAATGAAGGCACACGTGCAGATGACGGTAGCAGTTTCAATCAGATTCAATCTCTCAATTCAAGGCAAAACATGCTTGTTGTACGTCTGCCAAGATATCGCTTTAGGCTAGGCAGTGTTTGTGTAAGAATATTTTGCTTACTTTGAGCATTTTCTTTTTAAAAAAATCTTAATGTGGTATGAGTTTTGACTTCTGGGCATGAGTGAGTTCATCTTAAGAGACATACCATAATTCCATGGATGTAGATGTTGCAGCTTTTTTTTTAATACGGTTTTGTAGTACACTATTTTTATTAGGAGTGAGCGATATATCTTTATGTCTTAAATATTCAAGCTGCCCGCGTGCCGCTGACCCTCCCCTTTCAATATGTGTCCACGTCCTATTTCTGTCGCAATGCGCATCTTCGTTGGCTGCCTCCATTTATTGATGGATGAAGAAGTCATAAAATGCAACATCTTGTATGGGGCATAGTTCACGTCTTTGGGAGCGACATCGACATTTAATGCATACACAACCATCCTCATGTTTCGAGATTGTTGTTGAGTTTGTTTTGTTTGTTTTGTTTTTCTGTCCAGTTTTGCAATGTTGTGAGCAGGGATGAAAGGCTAAAAAAAATAAAAAAAAAAAAAGACAAAGACATACTTGCGTGGCTCGACCACCTCCTCAGTGACATAGTTGAGGAAGTTCCAGCCGCTGTAAGCGAAGGACGCTTGCAGAAAGGCCAGTGCGACCTGACCGACAGATGGTTCCTGACTGAACTCGAAGGCCACACTGGGCACCAGAGCGTCGTAGTAGCCTGGAAACAATACATTCCATCACGATGGACACGTATGCGGGATTTCGCGTCAATGGGACACAGTGACGGCCGAAAAAGGTAGCGAACCGAAGTGTAGCGAACATGGTGGAAACAAGGCTTTAAAATTTGGTGTGGTTACCTCGGCCGATTTGAACCAGTCCCACAATGATGATGAGGCCCAGAGCCAGCAGTTTGCCCACCGTGAACACATCCTGGATCCGGGTGGCCCAGCGCACACTAGAGCAGTTCACCCAGGTCAAGAACACTGCAACACAAGAACACTTTTTTTTCCCCCGATATGATAAATAATCCAAATACCAAAGTTATGTTAGTGTAGTTTTCTCAGTGGCCAAATGGTTGCAACTAGGCATTATCACACCACAAGATAAGTGTGTAACCGTTTTGATTTTATAGCCCTTTCAAGACTCTTTCTCACATCGGGGCGTTCAAGAGCATCCATCACTGGGCAAAACTTTTCCTCCCACCACTCAAACTGCTTCCGCTGTGAATGTTTGGCTGCAGCTTTTCTGAGGAGCCAAAATCCCTCGCTGCCCCTTGTTTTTCCTCTGCAGTCATGCTCGAGTGTCCCCCTCCCACTCGAACACCCAACATGCCAAGCGTCCGTCTTGGCTCTGACAGGAGTGAGGCGCCAGGCGTCCAGGAAAGCGACAGTGCAGGTAAATCTATGTTCCAGTGACAGCTGAAAGCTCGACGGCAGAATACTAACATTTATGAAAGGGGGCGGGGGGGGGGGGAGTAATTCTCTCGAATAGCGGGGTTGAATGTACTTTACTTTGCACGTGGACTGAACCCTGCCAGTACTGTACTCCAATCATGTTCGAGTGATTTATTGAAGGACACTTCAGCAGGTCACATGATAACCTTAGAAGCCAGTATAAGAAAATTGTATCAACGGTATTTGCACAAATACAATGAATGGTTCAGCCCTAACGCCAATGCTACACTTAAAGGTGAATTCCTTCCATGGAATGTCGCCATTAAAGCCAGCGCTGCAGTAAAAAGAGCTCCTGACATTTTTCTTTTTTTTTTTTTCTTTCAAGTTGCCGCCGTAGACTTGTGTGAGCAGTTTCCATGAAAGACTTCGCATGCACTGCATTCCTGTGGTCAAAGTGGACACAAATTCAGCTGCCAGATTTCACGTATGGCGTGACATCACAACCAAGCCGAGAGAGCCCCGTAACTCAGGACAGAATGCTTTGGAACAAAGCTTGACCAAATTGTCCAAAAAGACAAAAATGTTTGAAAGAAAAACATGAACAACAATATCGCGCCCCCCCCAAAAAAAAGAAAAATTCAAAAACTGTTAACGAAGAAAATATAAGAGCTGCAACTGAGATTATTTTGTTGATCATTAATCCGTTGATTATTTTGTTGAATAATCGATTAAAATGAAACAATTTCCATACCTTGATTCAAAAACAGGACATTATTTCAAATTGACTGTCCAGGAAGTGCACAAAGGAAAATTGATTGTGATTCAATTACCAGTTTGGTTTGTAACATGTCAGAAAATCGCCAAAAATGTTGATTCTTTTTTTGTAAAAGCAGAAACACAAAACACAAAGAAGCTGTTGAGAGGATGAAATTCTATCGTGGAAAGTTTTATATTCAACAAAGTTTCAAAATTATGAATCGATTATCAAAATAATGATCGATTAATTTGATCATTGATGAGGTATCGATGAATCACTGCACCTCTAGAAAATATTTTTGACTTTACACTAAAATATCTGATGAGAACTCCTAAAATATTATGAAATAATACAAAAATAAAGCCAAATATTTGGAAAATATTTCAACAAATATATTGTGAAATATCAGAAACTATGTTATAACATAAAAAAAAAAGCCGGCAGGCAATTAGTACAAGCGAGCCGCTAAATACACTTGTCCCCCTAATGGACATTTGAAACACAAACACAAACACAAATCTTCCAAAACGGGTAAACCGTTTCATCCCCGTCGGCCACAGCCGCATCCAAGTGTGCTTGACGGTGGATATGCGGGCTACTCACAGACACAGGTGGTGGCCAGCAGCCTGGTGGCGGCATACGGCGGCAGGCAGTTCTGGAAGGCGGGCTGCAGCACGTAGTTGGCAAAGGTGAGCGCGATGACGGCCAGCGTGGTCGGATACATGATCAGCACGGCGCTCCAGAGCAACAGAAAGCTGAGGTGCACAAAACAAATTCCATGGATAGAACGATGATGACGACGACAAAAAAAAAAACACCGACCTCAGTTCAGCAAGCATCAAACACCCTTCAAACTACTGGGTTAAAAACAACAAACATTGGGTTACTTTTAACGAGTATGCTCTAGAATAGCCCAATATGGGTTGTTGGTAAACATGTCGGGTTCATATTTGCAACCCAATATTAGAAAAATAATAATGGGTTATTACAAATATAAAGAAGAACATTGGGTTATTTTTAACCCAGTAGTTAAGACTTTTGCTTTGTTTTTTTGCAAAAGAACAGCATCAAGAAGGGCAAGTTAACGGGGAGTGGGCGGACTTATAACTTACACAATAACTTAAGACTGGCTTCAAAATTTGAGACGGACTTGTGACATACAGTGTGAGTCTGATGCTTATTTTTGGTCTCATAATCCTACCCGATGAGCCCGCCAAAGATCTCCGTCACGTAGGAGTAGTCTCCTCCCGACTTGGGGATGGTCACGCCCAGCTCGGCGTAGCACATGGAACCCAGCACGCAGATCCCGCCTCCACACACCCACACGATGAGCGACAGTCCCACGGAGCCGGCATGCTCCAAGACGCCTTTGGGGGACACGAAGATGCCCGAGCCAATAATATTGCCTGAGGACAGGAAAGAGAGAAAGACATGCTAACACAAACGGCAAAATTACACATACATACAGGTATATACATCCATACATCCATACTGTGGAATGGAACATACATTTTTAGATTTAGATTTAATTCATTTTAACCACTTATTTTGTTATTTCGTGTTAACTGTTATGTTTGTGACAGCTGCAGCTGTTGCCAAAGCGCTATACAGTATAAACAAAGATGTATATTGTATTGTACTTCTTTCATGCCAAAAGTTCGGAAATATTCATTCAAAATTCACTTGTTTCAAATTAGTGCTCATTCATTTAGCCATGATTTCAATTGAAAATACAAGTCAAACTTATTTCAATTTTTTTTCATCAATCATTTTTAAATTTATGATGAACCAATTCCTTTTTTAAAATAAATGTAAAACGTTTAGAATAAATGATTTGACTCGTGCTTTTGATCATTTACAGTAAATCAATTTACCAATTATTTAATGTGATAACCTTTAAAAAAAAAAAAAAAAAAAAAAAGACATTTTGAATCACTAATGTTGGGGTCGGTGGTACAGCTAAATACAGGAGGCTTGCTGAAGTAAATCCTCGATGGGGCGGATTAAGCATCACTTGCCAGTCGAGGGAGTTCCTGGGTCTCAATGGGGGGTTGAAAAGCCACGTTTTGCTTTCAGCATAGTAATGGAGTTCACTCTAACGCACAACCAATGGAGGGGGTTCGATTTATGACCTCCCCTCTCTTTGACTCCCTCCCCATCCTTCTTGAGGCCTCGGAAATCGAGATCACCGTCACTTGCTCCGCCCTACGGGACACTTTTTAGGCTTTATTTCCCGTCCCACCAGTCGTCCAACCGTGACACTTTCTCACGCCCCTTTCATTGACCGTGATGCGGGAAACATTGCGCCGGCGATGTCGATGCATCACGGCTAACGGGGTCGAGTGTTGAGGTGGGCGGCACAAACAAATTAGCACTTGGTTAGCGGATGCCGCTATTGTGACGCCGGCAAGGGCGCTCATACAGAACGCGATCGTTTCCCATGCATGGTAAATCGTGTAAAATCGATTCAACATCTGTTACGGTGATGGGGGTGGAGCTATGGGATTGAACAGGTGCAGCAGCAGTGTCGTAATACGAGTTTTGGATCTTTGCCAGGCCTTACAGATCAAGTCACTGTTGCATAACATTTTCAGAAATAGTCAAAAGATTGAATTGATTCTGTGATTTTTCTCGTGGTGGGTGGGCAGGCACTGTCGACACATGATGACTTGCGCACAAACCGCCGCGAGATCAATGATGGAAAAACGGCCCCCTTTAAGTGTATTTCTGATATTGTACGGAGTAACTAGAGACTTTCCTCCATTTATTGTTCTATGTTTGTCGTGACCTTTTATCAGGTTGGCCACCTTGGCGGCACACTCCAAGCTGCTGCTTTTGTTCCCTTGACGTCTTACAGCTTTCTCAATGGAAGAGCTACCTTGGTAACAGTAACCAGTATTTGTTCCTCTGGGGTCCGTGATAAGGCACCCTGTCGGGAGCTTCGTGTGCTATTTTTACTAAAGTAGAGACGCCTTTTCCATATAAATGCCCTAATCCGTTCCAAGACCCCCCAAAATTCAGATATAAATGTTTTTTAAAGCATAAAAATGCATCAAAATATGTAACAAATACATGTACAATTAGATCATTGCACAATAATTTTGTTTATTGTGCATAATGTAAAAAAAACAAAACAAAAAACAAAGAGCAGAGTAAAGCATAAAAATGATGATCATTTTACATCCTCGTCGTTTTTTTGCACTCTTTCGTTCACGTTCTCTCTCAGAAGTGTTTTTTGCCTTCTGTTTTGTCAAGAACTGATCCAAGGACGTTTGCTTTTGTCGGCTTTGAACAACCGTTCGAAAATGTCCGAGGCAAACATCAGCATAGTGAGCGATCGCCCGACTGGTGAACACTTTTTCTGGGTGATTCACATTTACATAAAACTATCAGAACGCCTTGTGGCCCGAGGGGGTAATGACGAGGGCGCTGCATAGGCACATATCTATCTATCTACATGCATAGACACATACAGTAGAAGTCCCTTTTAGCCAATGGGATGCCAGCAAGATGCTCGGAAATAGCTAATGGCAGAGCAGCTATAAGTATGTTGCGTTCAGGAAACTCGGAGCTGCGAGGAGCAGCCCATACTGTATTTTCACCTTTCGTATCTTGAAATTTCTTTCATAACAAGAGGCAACATTTTCTTGTTGAGACGTTTCGTAACTTGAAGAGACTTTTGCAAATTTCACTTTCATGGGGATGGGGAATTTTTACAGCATCTCATCTGTAGAGGCACGCAATGGCCGCCTCATCATCATACATCATCCCCCCCAGCCGCCGCCGCCACCACCACCCTGCACTTCCGCTGTGTTCTCAGCATCTCCGAGGGTCCGCTAATGATGTGGTGTGAGCAGAGAGAAGCATTCATGGCTGTCACGTTCACTTGTGGAGGCCGTGTGAGATGTTGCGTAACAGCCGTGTTGTCTTTGTTATGTCATAAGATAACACCCAAAAGCCCCCCCCC